TCTCATAACCATAGTGCGGACAAAGAGCTTGGAGTTCTTGATACATTTCCCACGCTTGATATAAAGTTTCACTCTCATTTTCGCGAAAAGAAGAGATCTGCTTTTTCAACGCAATAGTTTTGTGGTGGGGAAATTATTTGTTAAAGAATATTTGGGTCATTTCAGCCTAAATTCCAATCGAACGTGGTTTCAATAAATACAACCAGCTTTTAGCCCTTTCTTTAAGAGAAAATGAGAAGAATTTAAGTATAATTGCATTCAGTGTACCATGTTGATTGTGGAATGTTGCTACAACCTTTTCGAATTCCCTAACATGCACATACGAGTTTTCATTCTCAAGCACATGAAAGTTAGGAAGAAATTGAATCATTCCAGGTTTAAAATGTACACGTGGTATGTTGGGTGGAAACATAATACATGAAGGTGTAGATATATGCGTGGGGTGCAGATAATCATGCAAAGTTCTATATGGTATATCATGCTCATTGTCAGACATTGTGTTATGTGATGAAGTGTCAGTTTTAACAGATATAGAATCAAAAATAGGGTTAAAAAGATGTTCAAACTCTGTGTCGGGTCTGTCCGCAGATCGTCCTCGATCTCCTCAATACATGCTCATAGAAAAAGTAAAAGAAACTAAAGTGAAAATAAGATAAATACAATAAAGAAANATCAAAAATACTGAATTGTTCTCTCAAATGTGTAATAAAATGTTGAAAGGTGAAACTAAAATCAATAATTCGAAGCAATGAAGCGTCGAAATTCCCTCAATTAGATTTGATCAATCATATCAATTATTCATTTTTATAATTCAATTAGAGGCTTTCATCCCGACACTCTAATCGGAAGATATATCGTGAAAATCAATTTAATTTACAAATGTAATTCTAGAATTTAGATTTAAGACATATTCGCACAATTTTATTGGAACAAGATCAAATATCGACCATATACATCAAATATAAGACAGTAATCAATCCGCCAATAAAGTGAAATTGAGATTAAAATTCAACAACTAGTTCAATCTAACGATAGAAGAATTATGACTGGGTCTATGAAGGATATAATAATTGTTAAACCAATCTCAACAACAAATAATTGAAACTCAATAAATAGTTTGATTGAACAATGGAAAAAGTATAACTGAATTCATGAAAAATCTTGTAAATTATTAAACCGATTTCAATATAAATTCAAGAGAATGAAAATCACAATTCTAGCATTGTTTGACAATGAAAAAATGAAATTAAATGAATAAAAGATATGAAATCAACAATTCCAACCAAGTTTCTTTATAGCTTCACTAAAGGGTTTTAGTTCTCCATGAGTTTTTTGAGCCAAAGAGGAGAAGAATGGTGTATAGAAACCTCCTCCATATGTATTTTGCTGTTAAGAATTTATGAGAGTCCGAAATTGGATGAAAATCACGTTCAAATTGGTTTCCAAAAGAGTTCTAATCGAATAAGGAAAGTTACTTTCGAGCACGAATTTTTTTGTCTCTGCATAGCATTCAGTAATTTGGTTATAACTTTCTCTTCCAATATTCGATTTAGACTATTCAAAATGTGTTAGAAAGATAATTCAAAGATCTGAAACTTTGATAGAAATAGCTCTTTTCCAATTCAGACTTTTATTATGCCAAAAATGGGTCTCAATTTTCGGCTAAAAATCTGGAATATATCTTGTGCGAATTGGAAATTGATTTTGATAATATTCCATTCCTTTTTTTACTTATAATTGCTTCCAATCGACCCTTAGCACTCTCGAACCTTCATCGTGAGCCCCGACATAATAAAACTCATAAACGTGAAATCAGGACTTGAAAGTGAGAGAAGGTAAAACCAGTAAAAAGTGAACAAAGAGGAATAAACCGCTACATTCATCACTTGTCATGTAAAACATGAAGTGCATATAATTAAGTTATATTCCAACATATTAATCAACAATTGCTCATGTTTTGACAATAAAATAAGTATGTAAAAACGTACTTATCATATCCTTACATCCATCAAGTGCCACATTATGAACATTAAAGTTTGATTGGTAATAAGTTGTGACTTTGCAATTTTTGAGGACATTTCTGACTTCACAATGACAATTTTAAGATAAAGTAGTTTTATATGGTATTGATGTTTCTTTAAGTAACACATTTCAAAGAAACTAAAATATAAATAGTCGTCTAAATCTCAATACAATATTTGCAATAAAGCTATACAGATTATACAAAGTTTAACTAATATAGTTTCACATTGAAAAAAAGATATGACATAGTTTAACTATATTAAAATAATTCGATTTGGTTTCAAATGATTTTTAAGCAGTTTGATTCGATTCAAAGCGTTAATAGATTCACATCTACTAGGGTTTTAAACTTACAATTTGATTCGATTTTGTATTTGACGTTTTTGTTGTTCAACACCAAGGGCATCTAGATTTCGAAAAAACCTCGTCAAAACCAAAGTTTTGATTTTTCATGAATCATAAAGCACGACGTCGTGTTAGTCGCCCCGCACTCTTCCTTTTCCCCTAAAAAAACAAATGTTGGCTGTTTACTAACGCAGCTTGACGAAGTCTGCTGTAAACAATTGGTCCTCTCCAATTAACTAATCTCAAATAATGGTAGCCTCGTCATCGTCTATGTCAACATCATCTTCATCCACCGACGCATCTGCCTCCCCCTCCAACCGCCGCCAACACCACCGTCGCCGCCACAAACGAGATCGAAAACGAGACAGAGACGGAGACTCCCTCAAAGTGCGAAAAAAGCGTCGGTCCCACACAAAACGACGTAGTAGACGTCATTCCTCTGTTGACAACCACTCTTCTTCTTATTCATCGTCTTCCGAAGATTACAGGTGTCATATCTAGGCTACCCTTTAACTTTTGTGTGCTTTTATATCAGATCTATTCGTTTTTACTGTTTTAGATCTGGATTAAAATATTAGTTTTTATTTTTATGTATGGTACCAACCTGTTTTACGGATTTGATTATATCATATTACTTTATCAGTTTAGTTTTGGGAATTAGGGTTAGTTATAGAACACTTTGAAAAAGCAAAGGTTTGTGAATGTATTCTCGCCTAGATGGCTTCGAAATAAAAGTTTGAAATTGCATGAGTTTTAAGTTATTTGTGATGAATTTAGAGAATTCAATATACATAACAAGTTACCAGAGATGGTCTTCAGGCATCCTCTTTATGTCATAAATTGACACAAGAATGATATGGGGTAGAAAGAGCAGGCTTTTGCGTTTTGCTACTGTCATATATAGTTAGACATTTATCAATTCATGTATTTATTTTCATATCTGTTTCATTAGTAACAAGGTTAAAGTATCTTTTGACCATGCGATATTGTCTGTATATCTTTTCTTTTTACATTTTGCACCACAATCATAATCATACTTCATTGCTTATAAGAATATTATTTTTGTTAGATATCCTTTTTAAGGTTTTAAGATATTTATTGCTTTATGTCAATTACAAAAAAATTAAATCCTAGGCTAATTGTTTAAAACTATGTGCACGGACATGCTATTTTTGTTGAAGACTTGAAATGTCTTTGTCCGAGATGGATTGACCATTTACGCGCATGCGACATGTCAATATGGGTTAGATATACCACACTTGACATGCCCTTATTTCCCACTATCCCGACACACACTGCCTATGGCATCCATGCATTAAATTCATTTCACAAATATCGAAACAAAAAAGAGGAAGCTAACCGAAAGTACAATTGATGATTAGAGCATACTAATAACATAGACGAGATTAGGGAGGTTAGGAAGACGGGGGAAGATGAGATAATGGAAAATGGTAGATGGAGACGAGAAATTTTGGATGGGGGAAATTGAGAGATATTGAGGGAGGTTTCTCAACGGGTAAATGAAGATAAATTGAAAATAGGATGGGACTTTTAATGGGATAAAGTATTGTTGCCAATAAGTTCACTCATTATTCTAATGTTTCTACACTTAGACTAGACACTGGAAAACATTACCTACAAAATAGAAAACTATCAAAACAGTGCGCACTTCTTCACCTGAACAGAACCATTAGCAACCGAAATTATTTGTTGCTCAGCAACATTGACTAATTTGACGTAAATATTGTTTAATTATATTGGATGTTTAGTGGTATTATGAAGTAAATGCTGATGTGTCAAAAACATCCTTGGATGTATTTATGTGACAAAATATGAAAAATTCTACGAACAGCAATAATGTTTCATCGCAATGCTGTGAAGAGAAGTTAAAAATGCTGGAGCATGGGTATATTTATTAAAATTATCGAGTAGCATTTCTAAAAGTTGCAACAAAAGATTGAAATATGTATGCCCTGTTTGAGCCACGTTATTTTTTTCATTCTCATTCTTCTACTCATTTTCAACCACACATTCTTCAATAAAATAATATTTTTTATCACATCAATAACTTTTCATTCTTTTTCAATCATATATTTTCCATCACATCTCCTCGTTATTTTCTTCATTCTCATTCTTGTACTCATTTTCAACCACACATTTTACAATATAATAATATTTTCCATCACATCAATAACTTTTCCTTCTTTTTCATCCACATATGCCCCGTCACATCAACAGTAAAAATGTATTCTTACCTCCAAAATGTGCACAAAACAAGGGGCGTAGTGAAGTTGTTGAAAAATGATGTACCGAAAAGAGCTGCATTCTGATGTTCTTTCTTTATCGTAATATGAACAGCATTCAAAACGTGCTCATTGAAAAAACCTAAAGATTTCTTAAGAGGCTGAATGTTGTTTGTTGTATTTTTTATTTTACTTTGAAACAATAACTTTCCGTTTCATTTGGATGATTGATGGGCTCGTTTTAAATAGTTCTATTGTTAAGCTGGACAGGAGTTTTACTTAGAATAATCATCTCACCGATTATAAAATATTGGTTCTGGAAATTCCAAGATTATTATTTTTATAGAGCTGAACCCCGTGATATACATATGGTGAATGATACCTATTGGGTACTTGAACAGAATTGTGGAGGCCTAGAGCATAGTTTCAATGCCAGACTAGAGACTTCTTCCATGCATCAAGATGATTTGGTTCTTATTCTCTCCTGGGGGAAATGTTTATGAAGTTTAACCTGTTTATTTGTGTTTTATTCTGTACTGCCTGATTTGAGCAGATGAAAAATGAGATCTGATCAATTAGTTCCCAACTTCGCTTACCCTGATGTGAACAGTGAAATATGGAAATAATTCCTTGTCACTCTGTCTATTTGTGGTTTCAGTTCTACTGACAGTGAACATGAAACATCTCATCATTCCAAGAGGCACAAACAGAACAGACCCAGAAAGGTAGTTATTTTGAACTAGTTTCTTGACTTGTTGAATGATGTGCATTAATTTTTTATTAAGTACTGCCTGGTTGGATTTCAGATCAAAGATAAAGAGAAAAAGAAAACTCATCAGCACAAACGTCATAAGCATAAAGATAAAGAGGTGAGCCACTATCTTTTTTGCTGAAGCATGAAGATTGATGCAATTGTGTTGAACTGATTTGTCATTAAGCAAGTAGAATTATCGGGGTGAACTTAAAAGGGTTTGTTTTCATTATTTCATGTCATCCTAATTAGGTCATATTTTTCTTCATAAGAGGTTCTAATAGTACTTTCTGTCTGTTTATGAAATGGCTCTTCAAAATTTGGAGCTGGGGTCTGTGACATGATGACGGGGAACTTGATTGGCTTTGCTTGGATGTTGTTTCTCGCCTCGGTTTTGTCCTGGCAATGTGAGACGTATATAGAAGCCGCAGGAAGAGAATAGTGGTCCTGTACAGCTCTCCAAGGTTTCTTTTATGCTTGAAAATTTTCAAATTTAGCATGTCCAAGAGATGGTGATAATGGGAATAAAGGTTGCTAACGTGTTTTATATTTACAGTTCTTGGGAAGGGACAAAGATGACGGTGTACGTCGCAGTGTTGTCTCAGGCAAAAAGGTGAGGACTCACTCTCAAATTTTGCTTGATTATTTTGACAACTAATATATTGCTGAAACCCTTTAATGCTAGTTATACATTATCATCTCTATGTTTTCTTTTGTAGATTCAATTGAAGCTCGAGAAAACAAAGGAGGACAAGTTAGCAGAGAACAATCGAAATGAATTGCTGAAATTCTTGAATGCGAGTTATGATTGACAAAGTTGGTATGATAGTTGAAGGTTCTATGTCTGGAATCAAAACTTTCACATTTTTCTTTTGCTATGAGAAGTTAAAGTTTGTTTAAAATGTTATATATTTTGTGATGTTCTCCATTATTTAGTTTGAACCAGAATTTCACTTATTTATCTGATAGCAGCTAGAATAAAACAATTTTAAGTGTGATTTAACTTTTGATGATGACTTTTGCCTGTATTACCGGACACGGATGGTTTTTTAATTGTCTAAAGCTTTTCATCTTTGACCTGTGTTGTACATTACTATCCATAATTTGGCATTGGAACCAAAACAAGAATGTAGAGAGAAACCTAATGTTATGTAGCAATACTTATGCTCAGAATCCAACCTTGAGGGGTTGTTCAATTGGTCAGGTCTTGGGTTTGCTCCTCAATGGTCATCAGTTCGAGTCCCCTTAGGGTCACTGAGGTGAGTACCCGGCCGTAAACTTCAGGGCTCCGTGGAATTAGTCGAGGTGCGCGCAAGGTGGTCCGGACATTCACGATTATCAAAAAAAAAAAACTTATGCTCAGAACCCGTCTAGGTGGCCTTTCGGGCCATTGCTATATTAGGAATGGTTGGAGAATTAGGAGGTTTTTCAATTAGCTCTAGGGTCTACAAATTGTTGGACCAAGATGTCATCACCATAGCATTTATAGCTTGTAAAGCTCTTTGTTTAGTTGTTTGTTTTCCATTCTTTAAAAAGTCCTTTTTTTTATTACATATTTATTTGCAATAACATATTCATACAGTAAAATGTTCTACATGTAAATCAAAGCTTTTTCCTACCTTTTAATCACACATCTTTCAAAAATTTACTATTCAAAACAATTTTTTTTTTTTAAGGGCCACCAAACAGGGGGCTATATTAATAGCCACTTAATTATCTTTTTAGTACTTTGATATATAGCGTTGATCAACGAGAATGGATGCAATTATGATGCTATAACACCATTTGAGTTCTCGAATATGATAACTCTTCCATTTGGGCTCTTACATGCAATTATGGAATAAGTTGAGCATTCTTATTCCAACAAAGAATCAAGAATCAATCACTTTTCAAATATTAATTAAAGAAAATCCATAGAAGTTTGGGAAACAAGAATAAAAATTTAAATATTCATCTCCGTATTATTTTTCATGGCCACGTACTAAACAATAAATAATTTTTCTTCCTTTCATTCACTTTTCAGCTATGTAAAATGGATTCAAAACGGAGTTTCAGAAAATTGTAAATGCTCGTGTATTTCAGAAAGAGAAGAGTGGTGTATCATTATTTTATTTTTAATATACTAGGGCTATATTCGCAAAATGAATAATAGCATGTTATGGAAAGTATTTTTTTAATTAGGTGGTTATGTTGTTATCACAATTTTTCCTTGTTGCATCATAATTTAATTCTAAGCAAGATTTTCGTCAAATCTTGATCTTCAAACTTTGATTAATTTGCACATCTCATCATTGTTGAGTATGATTTCTGTCAAATTATCCCATTCGCAAATTTTGAAATTAACCTTTGTTTGGTGGCTTTTTTTTTTAGAAAAAATACTATTTTAAATAGTGAATTTTTAGAAAATGTGTGGTTAAAAAATATGAAAAACTTTTGAATTTACGTATAGAATTTTTTATCATGTGATTGAAAATGAGTATGTAGAAAAAAGAGTTTTGAAACAATAGGAAAAAAAAAGAGTAAATTACAACCTCGGAGGTTTTTAAGACAATTTTCATAAATCCAAAATAAACTTTAATAATACATAAATCAAGTTTTAATTAATGGTTTTTAAATTAATCCTACACAATTTCAAACCCTAATTATTTCATTTTCTAACCTCTCTCTCTCTCTCTCTGCCCATCGACCCATTTTTTCTCCCATATCTCTCTATCCCTGTCGCCACCACTCCGACGGTACCACCACGACGGCACCACCGCACTGGTACCTCCACTGCCTCTATCTATTATCACATCTCACCCTCTCTTCGTCGTGAAGCCTATCCTCTCACCCTCTCTTCACCGCGAAGCCATCGCTGAGTTAGACGAAATCAGTGTTGGTGGTGTTGGATGTCTTGTTCATGTTAATGGATATCAGATTTTGCAACATCGGCCGACCATGGCGGTGATGCCAAATGGACAGCAAGGTTTTTTTTATTAATGGCTTGTTGATTGTGCCATAGTGCTCTCCGTTGATTAGATCGGGCGAGGTGTGGGTGATGTGTAGTTGTGGTGGTTGTTCTAGCAACGACGGTTTTGGTGATATGTGTGGTTGTGGTTGGATCTGGTGCGAGGTGATGGTGTGCGTTGATGGCGGGCTGCGTTGATGGTGGTGTTGGCTGTGTTGGGGTGCGAGGTGGCGGCGGCGGTTTGGGTTGTGTTGGTGTGTGAGGTGGTGGTGGTGATTGTAATTGCGCCGGCGAGGTGGTGGATCTGTGGTGAGCGTGATGGTCTATGAGATCTGCGAGAAGAGATGAGACGATGGTTGTTCTATGGTTGTGCAGTGGTTTTGTTGGTGGCGGTGGTGGCGGATCTTGGTGTTTGTGGAGATGGGCATGTCGAGGTGGTGGTGGATCGGTGCGAGGGTGTAGTGGTATTTTTTTGCGACGTGTTGATTTGTTTGAGGTGGGGTTTAGGGTTTAGGGTTTAGGGTTTAGGGTTATGCTGTCGGGAGGTGGTGGTGGTTCGACGGTGACGGGTGGCAGTGGTGTTGCTGGAGCGAATGATGAGGTAGTGGTCACAAGTTGGTGGTAGGTGGTGGTCACAGATTATTTGGTCGTTTGTGACCATTAAATTGGTTAATCTGTGATCAATAAACAATATGTGACCTAAAAATTATTAATTTGCGATCAATAATTTGATAAACTGTGACCTAAATATAATTTGTGATCAATTAATTTGATATTTTGTGACCATAAAATAAGTTGTGACTTATAAATTTTGTGATTTGTGACCGATGAATAAATTTTGACTTTTAAATTTTTAATTTGTGACCAATGAACAAACTGTGACTTATAAATTTTTTGAATTGTGACCTTAAAATTTTTGAATTGTGACCAATTGCATAGATCTGTAACCTTAATATATTTAATTAATTAAATAATTAATTAAATCATAAATAAATTTTAATAAAAACCCGATTTTTGAAATTTAAAACATTTATCCTTATTTTTGAAATGGTGTATACTAAAAACCTGGTTTATGTATTGTTCCCAAAAAAAAAGCAGAGGCTAGCCAGGACGGATGGCTGTTCCAAGGCCATTTACTATTTCTTAGATAGAAAATTATTTTTGGAAACTTTTTTTCTATGTATAAACAGAGTGAAAATTCTTTTAGTAGAAATTACACAAAACCCCACTTTTCAAAATCTATATTCAAAAATCAGATCACAAGTTTCATTTTTCAAAAATCAGATATTTCATGTTAATAAAATATTGATTATACAATTTTCATCCCAATCCTAATTAATTTTCCCCAAGCCCTAGCAACCATTTTCAATATTCCTCATCCTTCTCTTTTCTTCTCACCGTAATATCAATCCTCATCGGCGACGCCATCTCCGCCATCTTCCCCGAGAACCCACGGACCATCGCTGCGATACAGCGCCTCCACAGATGGCGTAGCCTAGCGAGATACCACATCCAAAGAATGCGCAGCCTTCTCCTCCCTCTCTGCCGATAGCCCAACCTCTCACCACTGCCGCGATATAACACGTCCACAGATGGCGCAGCCTCGTGAGATACCAGAAGGGGCTATGCCACTGCGCGAGGGTCACCGATCAGAACTACCGCGCTTGCAGCAGCATTGTGCCACCGTGGTTTTGAGATATTTTGGGCGTGAAGGATGGCGACCACGCTAGATTTGGTTATTTTTGTTTGTTGGCAATGGTGGTTTCCATGGTGTGGTGATGTTTGGGTGGTTTTAGTGGCGGTGGTGGATCGGGCGCTGCTGATGGTGGATCTAGAGTTGGTGGTGATGGATTTGGCCGTGGTGTTGGTGTGTCGTGATCTGCGTCCTGATTTGATACTGTGCTGTGGAGGTGAGGTGAGGTGGTGGTAGTGGTGGATCGGCATGATGTTCTGCCATGTGCTGATTTGTTTGAGATGGTGGTAGTGGTTCTGGTGGTGAAGTTGGCGGTGGTGTTGATTTGTTTGAGGTGCGGTGTACGGTGGTGGTATGTTTTGAACGTGGTGGTGGATCTGTGGTAGGATTGGAGGCTGATTAGAGGTGCGATTTGGTAGCGTCGAGAAAGTTCGTGTGGTGGTGGTCTGTGAGATCTGCGAGAAGTGAAGTAGATTTGTGAGATGAGACGGTGGTTGTTTTGTGTGTGCAGTGGTTTTGTTGGTGGCGGTGGTGGTGGATCTTGGTGTTGGTGGTGGTGAAGTTGAGATGTTAGTGGCAATGGGCCTGTCGAGGTGGTAGTGGATCGTTACGAGGATGTGGTGGTGTTTGAGGTGGTGTTGCCGCCAAGAGTTGGTGGTGATGCTGGTTCTAGCAGCGACAGTGGCAATGATGTTGCTAGAGGGAGTGGTGTGGTGGTGGTCACAAGTTGGTGGTGGTCACAAATTTTTTGGTCGTTTGTGACAATTAAATTGGTTAATCTGTGATCTTATGTGATCAATGAGAAAGATAAATTGTGACAAAAAAAATGTATGACCTAAAAAATTATTAATTTGTGACCGATAATTTGACAATTTGTAACTATCTACTAAGTCGTGACTTATAATATTTATAATTTGTGATCGATGAATAAGTTGTGATGTATAATTTTTTTATTTGTGACCAATAAACAAATTGTGATTTATAAAATTTTTGAATTGTGACCGTAAAATAATTTGTAACCTATAAAATTTTTGATTTGTGACTTATAAAATTTCTGATATGTGACTGATGAACAAATTGTGACATATAAAATTTTTGAATTGTGACCATAAAATAATTTGTGACATTTCAATTTTTTATTTGTGACCGATGAACTAATTGTGAAGTATAAA